AATATTATATTTAATATTTTGCGATTGTATAGATATTTTTTAATTAACGTCTCTCGAAAAAGCATTTATTTTCCACGAAGTTATTGAAAAATAATTTATTCGAATTTCTATCGACGGTACCGTATATACAGGGTGTCCGGTAACTAACGGACCAATGATTAAGGACGGATTCTCTGGCCAATTTGGAGACGATTTTTCCTTAGCAAAAATGTTGAGAAGTCAATAATTTTCGAGTTATAAGCGATTGAAAAAATGGGTCTTTTGAAAACTAAACGTTTTGGAGTTAAAAGTCTAACATAATTATATTCTTCAGTTAATTTCAGGTAGAGTTTACTATAATAAAATTTTAATTTGAGGCTTAGTTATAAAGATATATATATATAATGACAAATATTGGAAAGTTGTAAAAATGATGACCTTTTTCGACATTTTCGCTGAGGAAAAATCGTTCCCAAATTGACCAAAGAATCCATTTGTGATCGTTGGTCCGTTAGTTACCGGACACCCTGTATAAATATTTCCTCGATTCTTTGAAATTCGCAAATTTTTTCGGCACGGTATCGAGAATTCTCTATCTTTCCTTCTCTCTGTCGGCCTTTCGAAGTCATTCACGCGAGTCGAGTTCGAACTCGGTTGACCGGTCGGACGAGCCGGATCGGCCTTGCTCGAACACCTCGGAGTCTAAGCCTCCATCATCATCATCATCATCATCATCATCATCATCATCATCAACTTCGTCTTCGTTGTCGACCACTTCTTTGTTACCCAGTCCGGTCACAAATAATCTGAAAGGCCGCCGCCGATATTTGTCCCCAAGAGAAGCACCAGAAGTGCAGTAACCCGATATTCTCTCGTCCGATACTCATCCGATATTGAATTTTCATTCGCATTCTAGATACAAAGACGTGTAATAGGGAATTTTAACAAAACGGTATGATTAACACGTGATTTCTGTCATCGTCGTTGCTAAGATAAAATCGAAGCGCCCAAACCAAAAAATTCATTTATCAATTCGATGTTAAATCATGAAATTCTCGAGATATTTTGGTCAACAATAAAGTTAAAATTAACACGCTGGGAGTCAAGGAAAAGTTTATATGATAAAAAATGTCAAATTGTTGAGACAAATGTAGGACAATGTGAAAAAATCCAGATAAATAGTATACAATTTCCTGCGCATGACAATACCCGGTTTTCCAGATTTAAACAAAACAGTGATTTCTGTCATCGTCGTTGCTAAGGGAAAATCGAAGCGCGAATTTATATAACAGATACTATATATAATAAATTCCAAAGAACACGCCGAATGATCCAATATGACGCGAATCTCCGCCAATTTATTTACGAGACGTGGAGAACTCGCAGCGAGAATTCGCGCATCTCCAGAGCCTCTTCCAGGTTCTTCTTCCTTGGCGGTGAGCAATACCGGACGAGAGAATGGCGAGGGGAACGAAGACCGGGTGAAAGAGAGAGATCGAAAGGGAAGGGAAGGAAAGACGGGAGAAAACGGCAGGATATTCAATTCCCTTCGCGTCGGCTCGACGCGACGCGAAGCGGAGAGATGATGCTAGGGGCAACTCTCGCTTTGTCCAGGAACCGGTCGACGTGCCTACCAGGAGGCAGGCAGGCACGCATCGATCCGCCAATCGTGCGGCGGTGCCTTAAGCACGTTGCACAACGTTGCCGCCGACTACGACGAGCTTTTTCGGGAGAAAAGCTCCCGTATTTTTTTTTTAACGCGGGAAAATTATCTTTCGGCGACAGATTTATTGGGATCGAAAATTTCGGGAAGATTTTGTCTCCTCGCGAGAAAATATCGAGACAGCTATAATTTTCGCGTCCGGGAAGAACGGTGGTTTGCGCTTTTCGGGACTTTAAATCCTTTCCCTCTTTTCCTGTCTCGGGGAAAATATATCCCCTGACAGTTCGCTCTCTCTCACCGGAAAACTCTCCGGTGCGCAAAGTCGCCCTAAGGCTATCGCTTCTCATCTATCGCGTTGCCGCCTTCGCAGTGGAATGCAAAAAAAAAAAAAACATTTCTTCGTATCGAGATATATATTTACAATTTAATGCTTATGTTGAATTAGTAAATTTTTATATTTTTTGATAATGGACGAAATCGCGATAAAAATAGAGATGAAATTTATTCTCTCCTATATAACGCTGTCAATCTAGAATAGAATATTAATTTCGATTTGACGAATATTTGTACTAAAGCTGTGAGCAATCGCGATGGGAAGAAATATTCTTTTTATGCGGGAGATAAAGAGAAATCGCTTAAGAACGATTTAAAGAAAGCAAAGTCGAAACTCACCCTTTTCGACGAACCGTGGCATGATTTTCCCGGCGAGATCCCGGCGGTTGTTTGCGTCGAAAGACATGCAAAGGCCATCAATCATGTCCTGAAACAAGCAATAGAGATGTTACGAGACGTAGCGAAGAAATATCGCATTTCTGTAATCGTAAAGTTCAATTCGAGAACGAGCACTCGTTGAAACAAATAGCTTTCAGCTATACAGGTTTTTTTTATGCTGTAAAAGAGATACGAAACCTATGTTTCTTCAAATAAAATGGTGCACTAGTAAATAATATAAATTGTTCGGCGGCGCATATAAATTTAAATATTTATGACTTTTATGAAGAAGCCATATTGATATTTCGCAAATGATACGAAAAATTACTTGGAAATTTCACATCCAATCCTACCAAAAAGTTCACCTAAGAGCTGATGAAGAGTAACGTGTTACTTTTTATGTTCAATTTTCGAAGCTTTAATGAAATTCAATTTTATGTTTAACTGCACACAGACAGAACGCCATAAAATTGAAAATAATTTCAATCGCTTATAAACCATAAAGACGATATCTCTAAATTGACTGATTGTGAGACGAAACTAAATTCCTCTTTTTGCATTCTTTATTATTTATGGTTTCCGACAACTCTGGTCCATTTCGTATATATCCTTCTCAACGCTTCAATTATCAAACGGTAATTATGCGTCACGAACACTATGGACAGTACTCTACCTCGTTTCGCATCGCGAAATCGAAACGTCAAGGGTTGATAATTCAAAGGGGACCAACGTACTCACTCTCGAGTCTCTTTGATCGCAATCGATCGAAACCGCGTATAGCCAGACGCAATAATAATAGTTTTCGATTTATTCATTAATAATTTTTCCATAATTGATAGAAAAGAACAATAAATTTGACGTCGTCTTTTTAATAAAGAGCGATGAAAGATTTATGATATCGACAAAGTCACCGAAATTGTGACGGTTTGAAATCCTGGTTCCAACTTGTCTCTCCGCACACAAGTCAGAGTTTGAGATCTCGCAGCCTCTCTCCTTCTCACTCTCACTCTCTTTCTCTTTTGACTTGCATACCGCGCCAGGTTCGCGCCACGGCAGCCTCTACCTGCATTCCAGCTTACCCGGTCGACCTCATTCCGCCATTATATTATTTCGTTCGTTCTCTTGGCTATCTCGATATTCTCTTAAACATTGTCCCTCGTACTGGGCTTGTTTGCCCGAAAGCGAGTTTTCGCGATCGAATTATGTCACACGACGTCGCGTCATCCCTGACATTGTGCTGGCGATTTCGAGATCATGTCCTCGATATTTCCGCGACGAAACAATATCACTCATCGAAAATCGTGTAAACGTAACTTGGAAAAGAAGAAAAAAAAAATATATATATATATATATCGGTATAAAAAATAAACAAAATGATTTTTAATTTTTTATATTGTATATATATTTTTTCATTTATAGGAAAAAACTTCTCTTGACAGAAAGATAAAATTAACGTTGAGATCGAGAAAGAGAAACTCGAACTGTCGAACTTTAATCTTTGATTTTTAACATTGCGATTTTTTTATTCACTTTTTCGCGATCGAGTTATTGTATTCATCTTCGTAAAATCGCATCTTTCGGTAGCGATAGAAGATCAGCTCTCTATCTTTCTTGGCATTATGATCATCGACAATCGTATTCATTACAAGCAGATTCGATCACTGTCAGTAGCAGACAAATAAATAGCATCGATATTCATTATCTGTTGCGTTATTCCGGACGATCGGGTGCGTGTTCGGGTCATTCGCCAAATGCATTCGTATATAGACTATAAATCAACTGCCGCGAAAATATTAACTCTCTCGACCGCACACGTGACACAGATATTTCACGACGGACGCGATCGCACGCGTGTTACTTTACACCGCGTTACAGCGCGATTGCATTTTTATGCCGGACGTTGATGGATTGGTACGATCCGGTGACGGATTATTCGCGGTAGCTATTGCGTGTCCAGATATATGCAAAAATTTGTCTCTCTCAAAGGTCTATAAGTAATCATTATATCGTTTTATTTACGACAATTTAGCAAATAATAAAATAGTATTCGCATAATGAATATATGTAGGCACAATAATAAATAAATATATATATATATATATACAGAGCATACATCTAATATATTATAATAATAAAATATTATTTATGATATTCGTGATAAACATCGAGAAAGTATTAAACGCGAAATAAAATAATAACTCAATTAAATTTACTTTATCATATGTTAATTAATGCTCCAATTAATATTCCGCGCAGATACAATTTGATATTTTATTCCGACATATTTAAATTAATATTCATATAATAAATTAAGTAAACATTTTTAGTCTCCAACATTTTCCTGATATAATTGCGTTGAGAAAAATAAATTAGATAAAGTTTAGTTTAGGTAAAAACCAAAAAGCATTTGGAGTCGTTTGGCTCTTTCCGCGATATTATCTAGCCGAGGCGTGTCACAATTATATTTGACACGCCAAAAATAGAACCGGCGGATTAAGTCATCGCGAAATTAGTCGATCCCTTCTACAGGTGCGATGTAACGATCCGGGATCACTCGCTAATTGCTAGTCATTGAGGCGCACGCGCACGATTTAGCATAATACACGAGCGATCATAATCGATAAATTCCTTAACGAGCGCGACACAGATATGTGATCACCGAGCTGCTCCAGAGCGACCTGCACAAGATCATCGTGAGTCCACAGCATCTCAGCCCGGACCACATCAAGGTCTTCCTTTATCAGATCCTGCGAGGTAAGTGTCAGCAATTTTATCGATTTTTTTATCGCACGTTTAATTACGGGTTAGATTGTTTTCAACCGTGATAAGAACGTGGAATATTTTAACATGTGTGTGTGTGTTATATATTAAAAAAATTTAAATATATAAAGGGATATATATTTTTATTTACTCCTAAATCGAAATTAAAAGAACGTAGCTGAGATGCAATACAAGCGGTTACTAACTAGTAGGTCAGCTCTTAAGACACAATGGGTATACACGTTCTCAGTAGGAAGCAAAACCCATAGAGAAAGCGAGAAGGGGCACGAGAGAGGATGGGAAAGTTCGAACTTAGAACTCCCAGGGCGACGAAGGTTGGTCCAGTCTCTAGACGACCTCTCAGGAGTAGTTGAGGTCGAGATTCCGAGATAGTCTGCCAGGTGGAATGGGAGAGAAAAAGTGGAAGGAAAGGAGAGAGGGAGAATAAGACGAGACGAGAATGGCGAAAGAGGGAGGAAGTCGAGGCTTATAAAAATCCACGAGTAGCATATTGCTTGTGTCGTCACCAGGTTTGGCTGGCGGACGAAGGAAGGGAGATCGCGAGGGTGGGAGAACCGAGATAAACAGGATCGTTTCTATTCATCCCTCGGGATCATCCCGGGGATCTCGACGCTTCCATATCGTCCTTACATTGTCTGGCTCGCCGAATTACCTGTTTCTCTCCGTGCGTCTCTCCTCTACTGAAAAATGTCCTTTCGTTTATTTTTCTTTTTTGATCAGTCTACCGCTATTTTTCTTCTTTCTCCAAAAAGAAAGGTGCGAGGTGCCTATTCTCTCGTGACTTATTTTCAGTGTAATCAATATGTACTACGTGATTTCTTTAATGTGAAAGATTTATATATATAGATATGAATGAAGTATATTAATAAAGAAAAAATCTAAGTGTGAGAAGAAACAAGATAATAATTCTTACAAATTATTCATCTTTCTGGGAATATGAAAATTTGAGATTTTTGATAGAGGTCGTGTAATTGCACCGAGTTGAGCAATTATAATATATAATCTTTTATTGTGAGAGTTTGTGTCCTTTTCTGTGTCGCGTTGATTATCCAAAAATACAGGATAAACATCTCTAATCGAACTAGAGAAAGAGAGAAGAACGGATCAAAGGGTCGCGCGGATTAAAGGGTCGACTTAAAAAAATGTGACGTCTGGAAATGAAATTCCACGGTGATGATACACAAACGTATAAAAGCTGTTGTCTCGACGCTCGAAATTCCTCGGTCAAGAAAGCTCGAGACTCGTTTTGTTTCTTGAGTTTGCTGCTCTCTTTCTGTCGAATATTAATTTCAAATATTATAACATATATAAAGAAAAATCGAGACTTATTAAAATAAATAAAACAAACTGAGATTTGTGTTCAACAGTCGAACAGCATGTTATCCGTCATATATTTTCACGAAATACTATATTGGGATGTATGTGGCAAGCAACTATTTACGATGGTCAATCGCGGGCTTTTTATTGGACGTGGAAAGAATGGTGACCTAGTGAACCGTCTTTTCGCACGATCGATTTTGCTTATATCGCAGCACTCGACGAAATGAAATCGCCGACAAAGAGAGACTACGTCTGCGATAGAGAGAGAGAGAGAGAGAAGAGGATGAAGGAAAAAATAGACCAGAGAAACGAGAGAACGTGCCGTAACACGTTAAATTCGTTACGCTTCTTTTTTTGCTGTTTACGTTCCTAATCTCGAAAATCTGCATATATTGCGTCAAATTTAAAAGAAAAATTGCGACACCCTTGCAAAGTGTTATTAGTACATTCAGTATAATTTCTTCAATTAATCGAACAGATCGAAATAAGATTAGATAATCAATAAAAGAACGATCTATCTCGTATATTTTTCGTTATACAGCCGGTTATCAACGACAGTGTGCGTCGCGTTAATTCAAGATTCAGCGCGTTGCCGAACTCTTGTTTTACTTCCAGCCGCTTGTTTTCGAGGATAATTTGTCGCGACAACTCTCGTTCTTCTCTCGCGGGAGGATGCATCGAATCACGATGCGAAGAAGAGCTCGTCGGGTTCACCCTTCGCTTCCGCTCTCGCTGGAAGAAGATTTCTGGTGCAGCGCGAATGCGACGCGAGTGCAACGCGAGTGCAGCGAATCATTATGCGCTGGCCGACCGAGGCACACCGCTGTGAATAGTAATTTTTCCTCGTTTTCTCGTTATTAAGATCTTTCTTGTTTCATCACGGTGACGTCTTTTCCCTTTTTCTCCTGTATTTCTCTCCCCCTAGCTCTCTATTGCGATGAGATGTAGAGTCGCTCCTGAAATTACTGTCTTCGATACTCGCGAACTGATAGAAGAAAAGAAATGGTTTCTCGATGCAACGCATAATGCGATTGGAATAACGGAACGGTGATGAAATTGCATTTCGAGTTATGTTAATCTTCGATATCAAGAACTTTTCATTTATAAATAATAAGTGAAAAACTCTAAAATAGTTCAGTATGATTATAAGATTAATGGACAAAATTTGACAGTTTATATAATTAAATCAAAATATCGGTTTAATTTTAAAACATTTAACATTATTCTATGTAATCACAATTTTAATGTGTCATTAAAGAACTGTTAATTTAATTAATTGAATTAAATATAATATCTATAAAAAAAGCGACACATAAAAATCAGATTTCTTTGATAAAATAAAAATTATTATGACGTATCATAGAGATATGTAATTTCTAAAGTTTCTCGAATTTCTATTCCTAGCGTTTCGCTTAGCACGCGGATCAAGATTGCCGATAATTTTGCATTTACTATTCTCGTGTTCATAATTTCGTGTCTAGCCGACGTCGAGCGAGCGATTTTCGCGTCGCGGTTCGTTATCTTCTTTGTGCGAAATATATTGCTATCGCGAGGAGCAAGAGAAGCTGCGCTCGTCGATCTTGGTCCAGGACCGATTCTCTCGGTCGTATCCATCGGTCAACGTCCTTACGAGTTCGACCCAGGCACCCGTTCCTCGGGCTTGTCCGAGCTTCTGCGCGTTTCAACGGTACATTTCTCCAGACGGAGAATGATGCCGTGAACCGGAAAGCGAGCGGCACGCGTTTTCGACGTCTCCTATAAAGACCCGCCGCGTTTCCGCGCGTAAGTCATCATCGCAGTTTGGACGCGCTCAACGCATTAATCCTCGGTATTTTCACTCCAAGAATATAAATTAGATCAAGGTATTTCGATGTAACGTCAAATTTTTCTTAAGAAATATTTTTATCAGTATAATAATTTATAGCTCATTTCGTCGATATTAATAACCGAAGAAATATATAACGCTTTGTTGATCAACAGGGTGTCCAGGAGACTCGGTGAAAAAAAAATCCCTGACTTTTTAGTATTATTTTTTCCAAATATATAATTTGTATATATCTATATGATAAATCAATTCAATGTTAAATTATGAAATTCTTGAGATATTTTTATCAACAATAAAAAGATTCGGAAGTTAAAACAAAAATTTAAATCAATTATACAATCTGCATTATGTACGATAATCAAAACAAACGTGTCACTATAAACTATTTAAATAATCATCTTTTTTATTTATATTATATCAAGTTTTTTTTAGTTTTGTCTCTATCAAACACATTGAAATAAAATAACACGACGATGAAAATATAAATGAACGAACACGCTATAAATGAATCAATTTTTAACACAGGAAATTATAAAAAATTTCAAATTATCGAGACAAATGTAGAATAATGTGAAAAAAACCCAGATAAATAGTAAAATTTCCTGATATTTCCCCGACAATTTCAGATTTATCAAATTCCCTGACAATACCCGGTTTTCCAGATTTCCTTGATCGCTAGACACCTCGATTTTGTTGATCAATCAAAATACTCGAAAATTCTTTCTTACTAACAAACTCTAATTAACACTAATATAACAAAATTTCAAGAGGCACGCGTGACAAGCTAATGACATATAGAAGGAAAAAGCATTTAAACAGAATCTAGCTCGAACGATGACACACTTATCTCGATTCTGCGTCTCGTAACGATCATCGTTGACCGTCGCAAAAAAAAAAAAAAAAAAAAAAAAATGTTTCGAAATTTCCCACCCGGTATAGCGCGACGCGTAAAGCCCGGATAGATAGAGCAGAGAGCAGCGAGCTTCTCTTCTTCTCTTGACTGGTCCGAAACCAGTCCTGCCGCCGCCCATCCGTGACCCCGGACCCCGTCATCCGGTCGGCTCTGGCTTCTCCTCCACCACCACCACATTGGTTAACCTCGCTGCTCTTGCCCCTTCGTATTTTGCATCCTCCTGCCGCCTCCTTCCTTCCGTTCCTCTGCCGCGAGACGTTTTAATTAAAGAGCAACATCTTTTCGAAGGAAACTTGTGGCGCGTTTCTTCTTTTCATTCGGCAATAAGGTGCCACTATTGTACACTAATAAATCGCTATCTTGTGTAGCTAAAACAAGCGATACCGTTTCGATTTAGACGGAAGGAAAATGAAAGCAGTTGTCGAATATTACATTTTAAAGACTTGAATTTAATTTTGCCAAAAAGGGAGAAAGAGAGAGAGAGAGCGTGGTATTTAAGTCATTTCTATAAGAGCGATAAAACTTTTATATATTATGTATTTTCAAACTCGTTAAATCAATCTTATCTGATTGATTTTCTATTAATTTTGAATTTAAATATCAGAGATTATTTATATCAAGCATTTAAAAATATAGCAAATTAAACGAGAATTCATTACTCTGAAACTGATTAAAGAACATACAATCTGAAATTATTGGTCATCTACAACTTACTCAAAAATAGATCAATTATTCATTTGATTAAAAACTATAAATAAAAAAACTTACTGAGAACTGTGTAAAATATACTAATCATTATCTATAATTTCTTGAATTTTCACTTTTTATAATTTTACTGTCAAAAAAAAAATCCAGAAAGTATAGTTCCAAATTATGAAATCTATTTTTTTCCTCAAAATACTGCTTCGCAGACGC